CTAAACCCTAAACCCTAAGTTGAGGCTTGAAGATCAAGGCTCTGGTGTGGGAGATCGCAGCCTGGGTGTGTAGGCTTCTTTCACGGCCTACGGCTGGTAAGGTGGGGCGTTATAGTAGCTAGACTAGGGTTTGGGGGTATATGGTAGTCTAAAGCAAATAGTGCGCTCAAAAACCCGGAGGAATAGCCTTGACCCAGCAGTTATTCAAGCTTCTGTAGCAGGGACATGCATGGCTGTATGGAAGCTAAGCTGAGTTGCACTAGCATTGAGAGACCGGTGGGATGCCCTACACTCAGCTCGTCCCTAAAAGGATCTCTTTGGGATGATTTCCTGTGGGGATTCTACTATTTCTGCTACTTGTGCCTCCGAAAGAATGCCCCCAACTCTGCTCTGGCCATTATGCCGAAGGAGCCCTATGTTACATACACTCACCGAAAGAAGCCTTTCGATAAGCCCTGCCTTGACTGGAGAGGATTCTAGATAAGGTCTTCATGGGCTGTGTTAGGCGCTTTGAGACCTTGCTTTATGCGTGTCCTTAGGCTATTGAGCAGGTTCTTCAGGGTTCTGCCATTAGGCTTTGTGCATTCTTGAAGGCTTGCAACAGGATTTTATAGGATTCACCCCGGGAGTCCGGAAAAGAAAGGGATCTATAAGGGTTCTATAGGGGCTTTCGGGTTTGGGGTTTAGGGCCTGAGGGCTTAGGGGGTTTAAGGGCTGAGGGGGTTATTCATTAGAACAGGGTTCCGGGATGCAGTGTAGCACTCAGGAGATACGATTACAAATTCTCCAATCCGCCATAGCTATTACGGAGCCTCACGAGAGAAGAACCCCTACACATGATCATACGGCTGATAGTATAAATCCTGCATTACCCATACTAAGGAATATACCATAACTCCTACAGCTTAGGGTCCTTAAGGTAATGCAGGGTTTATATCATCAAGAGTAATGACAGGGCGCTTCTGAAGCGAGCCCTGCCCCCACAACGCCTCCTCGCCTAGCCCCAAACCCCCAGACTCCTGGAACCCAAGACCCAACGAGAACTCTCCAAAAAAAAACACAGAAACCCTGAGTAAAAAACAGCGTAGACAACTTAGACTAACCCCAACCAAATATCAGGGTTTAGGGAACAAGGCTTCGGGTTTCATGGGCATTCCGGCCTGAGATCCCTGCGAGTCTTCTCGAGCTGCTCCAGGGCGCGTGCCTTTCTCGAGCTGGGCTGTTGTAGTGAAGCTGCGATCTCTGCAAAATTCAAAGAATTCCAACCCCCTAAACCCTATCCCCTGAACCCTAAACCCCAAAGCCCTAAATCCAAAGCCCTAACCCCAAAGCCCTAAATCCAAAGCTCTAACCCCAAAGTCGTAAATCCAAAGCTCTAACCCCAAAGCCCTAAATCCAAAGCTCTAAGGCCTAAACCCCACCAATCCCGACAATGCTTGAGGATCGGGAGGTCAGGAGGTGAAGTTGACAAGGATAGTGCCGTAACCTATGTGTCGTAAGGATCAGACAACCGTTTGGGGGCAAAAAACCCTCCTGGAGTTGTAATGGGATCATAGTATCGGCTGTTCCGGACCCTACAGTAGCTCCAACTGCGTCTTGAGGGCATTGCGCGGCATCGGAAGGTTTGCTGGGAGCCTCTAAGTGTGGCGGTAGAGCCCTGAAAGCCCCAAACCTAGCGAGCTTGAAGAACATATAACACCGAAACCTACAACCTGAAACTCCCTAAACCCTAAAACCTAAAACCCTGAAACCCGAAACCCCTGAAACCCTAAAACCCTGATACCCTAAAACCCGAACCCCTAAAATCTTGAAACCCTAAACCGGAAGCAGTGTTGCTTCCCGTAAACTTTTGAATGTCGGTACACAGCATTGCAGGCATACTGTATATGCATATGCATGCATGATTACGTGCCTACATACATGCATACATACATACGCACCTTTTACAGATCTGTGTATACATATATACATATATATATATACACATACATACACACCTACATACATGCAT